CCCCATCACTGCCCCGGGGGTCTCTTTGCAGGGACCCCAGTACAGCCCCGTGTCCCCTTCCCCAATCCCCCATCACAGCCCCGAGGGTCTCTCCCCAATCCCCCATCAAAATCCCGAGGGTCTCCCCCAGTCCCCACCACAGCCCCGAGGGTTTCTTTTCAGGGACCCCAGCACAGTCCCCGGGGTCTCTTTGCAGGACCCTGCCCAGCCCCGTGTCCCTCCCCGGTGCCGGCGCAGCCCGGCTCTGTCCGTCTGTCCTGCTGCAAGGTGAGTCACCGTCCCCGGGAGCACCGCGGCTCCTCGAGGTCACCCACCCGGCAGCAGCTCCCAAAGTGCCGTCATTCAGCCAAGGCAAAGCGTGCTTTTGCCATTATTATTTAATTAGGCTTTTTTTTTTTTTTTCTTTCCCCCTTCCCTAACACTGATCCTAAGAGCTCTCAAAGCAAAGAGAAGCAAAAATAGAAAATGCAACATTTTAATTTTTTTTTTTCCTCTCTCTCTCTCTCAGATTGCTGCAAGGGGAAGGGAGAAGGGAGAGAGACATGGCTAGAAAATACAATTATTCTGCAGAACGGAGTATTTTGCCATCTAATAAAAAGTCAAGACCCCGAGTAAGTTATGGCCACAGGAAAGCACAGAGCACCCCATCACCCTGCCTGCAGCATCCCATCACAAGCACTAATTCCCATCCGTAACACATCAAAAAAGACAAGTGCCATGCTGAATCCTATTCTCCTCACTCCTGGTACACAACAGCAGAGCTAGCAATATATAACATGCATGACTCAGTCCTAGCACCGTGCCACTACGGAACAGAAAGCTTTAAAATAAAGTAAATATCTTAAAAGGTCAATTAAAAAAAGCTTACAAAACATCAGACGCTGCTTCTCGCTAGAGCTCATTACCTAGTATGGTGGAGCTGCCTGTGTGTTTTTTTTTCTTGTGCAAGTTAGTCTGTGAGTCAGCATTAACACACATGAGAACATCAGGAATACTGCCTAGTTCTGATGCAATGGAGGTTGTAAAAAAAAAAAAAAAAAGAAGAAGAAGAAGAAGAAGAAATCGCACTCGGTTTGGACAGGAGCCTGTAATTCAATTGCCTTTACTTTTCAATTACTGCATAGCCTACCCTGACCAACCTGCAGAGGGGAAGGAAACTTTGCTTACATCTCTGTCTTAAAATTAATGACTTTTACTTTTGGCTACAGCTTATTCTCCCTGCTTAAAAAAAAAAAAAAAGACATAGTATAATTAACCCTTCAAGGGCAGCTGAGCCCGTGCAGCAATTGGGATCTTTGTGGTTTTGCAGGAATTTCAGGGCTGCCAAAAAGTTCTGGTGAAGGGAGACATTTATGCATTAAACTTTTAATACTCAATAAAGCAAAGCTACAATTGCATCTGAGCTTGATCTTTAATGGAAAGAGAAGCTTGCAGACAAGGGGAGCTGGAGACTGCAGAAATTTAACTCTGCGCTTCTGGGCTCAGACAGGCAAATACGAGACTGCACAGGAGCTTCTTAAAAAATGAGGGGCTGGGTGATCCAGAAAAACCCCTGAGAAATTCAAAATTGGTGACACGAGGTGGCCACCCCAGCCTGACACCAATTTTGCCCAGACAATGCTAAAAATCTGCTTTTGTTATATATTGCATTTACTGTTTGTAGTGCAGCAGAAAATCCCCTGTCTCCCATTTCCCTGGGGGACAAACCCCTCCAGAATGATCCCTGCTCCCAGGAGCATTGAGTATATGACTTTTCATTTCTGCCTCCTCTCCTCCTGCAGCAAAACCCCTCACTGGGGGCAACACACGGCGCCCAAAGCTTCAGAATCTGCCTATTTCTGCATCACACCCTAAACCACCCCCAGACAACGCTGCAGCCCAGAATATTGTATTATATATGCACTGCTGATGATTATAGATATGAAATGTTATAATATAGATGATGTATGATTGATATATTGGTTTTATATATATATGTATTATATGCTAAACGATGTCCACCAACATCTGACAAGTTCTGAGCTGCTGGGAGAATCCCCTAAAATTGGGGTTTTTTTAATCTCTGCAGCAGAGAGAGGTCAGAGGTTGGAGTGAGAAAGTCTCCCCAGTGCTCACAACCTAAGCAGGTCCCACACCAACAAACTCCCAAAAATATTAACATGTCTATCTAATTCATATGGACTCACAATCCAGTGAAACGCAGAAAATGCCAAACCCCAGTTTAGTTCGCTGGTTGTTTTCATGAGCAGACACAAACACTGCAAAACCCTTTCTTCTTTCCAAGTATAAATACTTATTAATGCTGATTAACCAACACAGAAGCCTCTAATATTAGAGATCAATCACTTCTGCAGCCTCTCCTGCAGGCAAGGGTCTGTCTCAAACCAGTATGAGCCTGGTGGGGTTATTTTTCCTTAAGCATGTGGGATACTTGAATACAGATGAATTGAGTTTTAAAGGAAAAAAAAACCCAAGCAGCAACTTCTGGGCCAAGTTCTTGTGTGCCAAACTTTTCAACTGCCACAGCACAGCTCGACAGTGTTTCAAAAGAATTTAAGCACTGTTTTGAATACTGCTGACAATCTTCCTCATCAAAATTTGTAATTTAAATACCTCAAATCTGAAAAGCACGCTCCCTGGGGCATGCTTCATCCTCCCTCCCCACCACCCACCCTCCCCAAGCCCCATTTGGAATAAAACCCATTGCTTTCTGTATCTGGCAGGGTTTTCCCCCCCTCCTGCAGCCCTCCAGCATCCCAGAGGGATCCCAGCAGGGCAGCCCTGGATGGAGCCTCTGTGTGCACCCCAAAACACACAGCACCCTTCCCCTTCCACAGCTCTGCAGGCTGCTCTGGAGATAAAACCAGCCACTGCTTTAGAGATAACATCAGTCACTGGTTTCGAGATAAAATCACCGATTTAGAGCTAAGTCCAATTAGTGATTTAGGGCTAACACCAGTTAGTGACTTAGGGCTAAAACCAGTTAGTGATTGAAAGCTAAAACTAGTTAGTGATTTAGGGCTAAAACCAGTTAGTGATTTAGAATTAAAACCAGTGACAGATTTAGGGCCAAAACCAGTGACTGATTTAGGGCTAAAACCAGTGACTGATTTAGGGCCAAAACCAGTGACTGATTTAGGGCTAAAGCCAGTACCTGGTTTAGGGCTAAAGCCAGTTAGTGATTTAGAGTTAAAACCAGTAACTGATTTAGGGCTAAAACCAGTAACTGATTCAGAGCTAAAACCAGTAACTGATTTAGAATTAAAACCAGTTGCTGATTTAGAATTAAACCCAGTGACTGAGTTAGGGCTAAGACCAGTGACTGATTTAGAATTAAAACCAGTGACCAATTTAAAGCTAAAACCAGTGACTGATTTAGGGCTAAAACCAGTAACTGATTTAGGGCTAAAACCAGTTGCTGATTTAGAATTAAACCCAGTTACTGATTTAAAGCTCAAAGCAGGCTGTCTCCTACCCCCAGAAGGGGTTAATCCAAAGAGCCCCATTCCCACCCTCAGCTCTCCAGTGGGTGAGATGCTCCCTCAGACGTGTCAATAACCCCCCAAATAATTCCCTAACCCCAGAGGAGCAGCTGAAGGAACGCCTTGGGGTGGCAGAAGCTCCATTTTGGCAGGATTTGTGTTTAAGATTCCCTCCCATGGCTGCAAAGCACCTTGAAAGGTCGGCGAGCGCTTTCATATTCTCGCATCCATCGCCGGCGCTGCCGCAGACGGAACGGATTGACCTAGACAAGAACTGCAAGAGCCTCGCTGAAATAATCCATCAGCAGCCCTCAGCTGCAGCCTCCTTTGTCATGGGAACGCTGGGGAATCTCACCTACCTACTGCAGCCGAGAGGGGCTGGAGAGCCTTTAAATCCCAGCCCTGCTCTCCTGGGATGCAACCAGAGCCGGCACGCAGCGCCGATCCCTCCATGTTCCAGAGCCTGTGCCCATTACCCAACTCATTAAAGACAGTGATACTTTGTAACACACTCTAATCTTTAATATTCATAGCTTGCTTCATTTGCATATCATGCCATAAATAGTTGGAGCAGAGGTAAAACACAAAGCGCTCCACTTGCATTTCTAATTACGCCTAAAATCAAATGTAAATCACAACACAGCCAAGACACAGAAAATATTAAATTTGCTGGCTCTCAGTTAAAAATTTTTAAACACACACCCCCCCCACCCTCCCCAATCATGCTCACAAACCCAATTATTTTTAAAAAGAAAAATCAAAGGGGCTCACGCTGTTTGTTTTCAAAGAGGAGCTGACACATCCCAGCCCCAGCCCTGGTGAGGGACCCAGCCCATCTCCCCAAAACCACCCCAAAAACCTGCCCTGCCCTTCCCACAGGGCTGGGCTGCAGCTGCCCATTTAACCTTGCTCTCTGGAGGAACATCAGGAGCCTTTTGCTTCAGGGTGCCTGGGAAAGCTGATCTCAGGCAAAGGAGGCAAATTTGAAACATCAGCTCAAATCTGAACTTGTGCTAATTGGGCTGGCTGGAGGTCAGGGCTTTGGGTTTGGGAGAGGGAAGGAGAAAGCCCTGGGGCTGGGAGCTGTTCAATCCCCAGGTTTAATGAAATGAGGGAAGTTTTGGGGTGCTGGCACTCAGCAGCTCCGTGTCCAGAAGGAAACAAACAATTCCTGCTCACAATGTACCAAAAGCAGGCAGAGGCAGCACAGGCTGTTCCTCTCTGCTGTGTTTTCTCCTGGAACATGGAAGAGCCCTCAGAGGCAGGACAATGGGGCACCAGTCCTGTGGAAAAGGCTCAGGACCCCCATTCCACCCCTGCCAGGGGAAGGTTTGGCACCAGTGAGCCCTGTGCTCTCTCAAATATCCCAATATCAGCCCTGTTTATGGCAGCTGCAGCAAATTCCCAGGCTTTCCCCAAAAAGGATCCTGGGGAATGGTGTGGGGCTGGCAGAGGCTCGTGGGACCTCAGTCCAACCACCACAGCCCTGGAGGATTGGTCCACAACAACACCCAATTTATCAGCTTTTAGGGAAAAGCAACAACACCCAATTTATCAGATATTGGGGAAAAGGAATAACACCCAATTTATCAGCTTTTAGGGAAAAGTGTGGCATCAGTTGAGGTTGCACCCCTGGGGCAAACAGGGCTGAGGTGTTTTCACCTGCACAGATGAACTGACCCCACTTCCCCCAGCTCACAGAGACACCAGAAGACTTTATACCTGCAAAGCACCTTGATATTCACGGGTAAAAATTGTTATTAGTGCATTCCTGCCATATTCTGCTCCTACTTGTATGCTGCTTTTCCAGGGTTCCTAAATCCCATCACTGAATGGGTCCAGAATTCCCCAATTCTTGCCCTACCCTGGTGCTGCAGCTCATCCTGCCCCTTTCCAGACTCAAATCCAGCTCAGCAATTACACTGCACCAGTTCTAAGAAAGAGTTAAAAGATATTTTTTCCTGCCATATCAACTTCCAAAGGATTCCAGAGACATCATTAAATTTAACCCCAAAAGGTGAGCAACCGCCCCGTGCCCCCAGCCTGCACCCAGGGAGAAGTGAAAGCGAGCAGCTCACAGCCTGCAAAGCTTTTCTGCTCTTCTTATGTACCCTGGCATCTTGCCCAGACCTATTTTTAAGCCCATTTACTAGAAATCCCACAAATTAAAGGAAATACGGATAATGTTGTAAGAATCCTTTGGGCCAAATAAAAGCTACACATAATTTTCCTTGTGCATCAAGAGTAAGATCCTTAACCACAAAAACCAGATTTCCCCAAAGCTCTTTTGCAACAGCGAGAGAGAATCTTGTTTTGTAAAAAGTTGCTTTGATTCACTCCTGGATTACAGGGAGCTCCGCTGCCTCCCGGCCAAACCCAGGAGTGATTCCTGTTATGAAACACAAGAGGTGTTAGAACACAAATAAATTCAACATCTCCAGCTCTGGAACAGGGACTGCAAGGACAGCAAGG